GGTTGGCCTGTTCCAACTGTGCCGGTAGGGGAAGGGGAGAGACAAACTCCGAGCTAGACTCGCCAAACCCCCCCGCGCGCGCTCATTGGCCCTGGGTGTAGGGGAATCCTTTCGCTCGCGCACACGGCCTCCAACGCCAATAGCATGGCTTTTCCAGAAGGGGCAGCGGCTCCCAGCCCTTTGTAGGTAACTACAGAAACATCATAGGGAAGAGATCCTTAGATCTTATTTTAGCAAAATCCAGTTCAGAGTTCTAAACTACAGGCTGTACTCTGGTTTCCTGTTTTGACCAAGTGTCTAATTTCCAGCAACCAAAGCTGTGGACGTCTCTCCCTCTTCCAAAGGATATGTAATTCTTCCAATACATATATATATTTCTCCTTTGGATGGGCAGGGGAACCAGCTGCTTGCAATTGTCAGATCCTTTTAAGTTAAAGAGGACTCACAAGAAAGTTCCCAATATAAGAACATTTAGGCAAGTCAGTGGTTGTGTACATAGATTTAATTTGTATACAGGTGTGTGTAAGAGTATTTAGGTTTAGGACCCCGAAGGTGCATTCCACAACTTGATTCAACAAGTTTCTGTTGCATTCTTGATGCTGAAGTCAATAGTCTTACTTCAGTGTTAAGCGTTTTTCGGACTAGCTCCTGTCACTGGAGTACTAGCAACCCTAGGAACCAAATCGTAATGTCTTTCTCATGTTGTAGGTTACCCACAGTTTTGTCAGTGCTTTGGGACCCTAGGACTGAATATATATTGTTAATGCAAGGTCTCAGTATTGCGCACGGGTGATATAAAGGTGTTTCTTAGCATGTGCAGACTGCATTTCCCACTTCATCAGTTCCCAGTTCATCAGGGGAGCAGGCCAGCATCCACCATCAGTTTGGAGACATTTGGGTTGAAAGGATTTTCTGGTCAGGGGTGCACCGTCTTTGTAGGATTGATCTCTCATTCCTGGAATCAGCTGTAGGATCCAGGGTTTAAAAAATACTTTTACATGCAATCTAATTTTGCAGTTTACATGAAAAACATATTCCATCTTCCATCCTATCCATAGGAACACAGGAAAACCAGTCCATTGGTTCATCTAGTTTGATATGCTTACACTACACTGACTGACAGGAGGTTGTCAGAGTTTCAGACAGGGTCCCTCCCTCCCCCCCTCAACCTGGAGATGCTGTGAAATTTAACCTGGTACCTTTTGTGTGCAAAATATGAGGTTGTATCACTGAGCTATGCCCCTTTCCATTCAGCGCAGTGGGATTTACTCCTAGGTAAACATGCATTAAGTCTGGAACACATCACTTCTGAAGATTGTGAAAGTGGTTTGGAAAGTGAAAGAGAACCAGTTTTAAATCAAAATTTATATTCTAGCCAGTGTGAGGTTTCACATCTGAATTAAGGGCATGAGGAATGGAAATGCGTGACCAGCACACCATGCACAGATCACTGTGCGGTGCTGATTTCACAAAGTTCCATCAGTTTACTTATTCTATAATTCTGGGGCTACAAAAGGGCTTCCAGTTAAATAACTTGAATATTCTGGAGGACATTCATCTTGTTTATAAAATCTTAAGCGGGGAGGCTGATCCTTTTGTCTGAGACTCTGTTTGACTTCGAGAGAATCATACCCTTGTCAGTGAAACCAGGATAATGGCCACTTCCTGAGTCCATATTCATAGCCACTAACACAGATGAAATCTGCACCTCACTCATAAATATGCACAGGGAGGAAAATACATTATCTGTCCCCTTCCTTCTCATATATCACAGGCTGGTTACAGGGTCTTAACGGAAGCCTCACTGGGGTTAAGCAATCTTGATTTATATGCCTGCAACCCTGAAGAGGTTCACAACTTGGCTGTAGAAAGCCTCAATGGATGCAGAGGCTCCATTCTCAAAAGGGCTCTCATGAACAAAGGGGCAGGCAGGGGAGGGGAGTCTTCCATTTTCCTTAAGAATTTAGGGCCACATTTTAGCTAGGAGTGTTCAGGGTAAACTGCCACCTTTTAGTTGAAAACTTCGGGCTGGCTTCCAGCAAAGCCTTCCCTGTTATAGACATCTAGAGTAGGTGGCTTGGAGGAGAACTTTGTGGGGCTTAGCCTAGTCTTGAGAATAACTATTATTATTACTATCGTTTATTATGATGGGCAGAACACAACCAACTGGTAGGGGTGCCATTAAAGGGAGAGACAAACACACAGAGAGAAAGATCCACGTTTCAGACTGCAAGCAATTAAAAATGCTGCTTTTGACCTTCATGGCTTAGGACCAAGGTACTCTCTTATGCACCTACCGATATATTAAAGCCTTCAGCGGTGGGTCTTTGTGGTGCCTCCACTATAAGAGGTGAGTGACTACCAGAGAGAGGGTCTTCTTAGTGGTGGCTCCCCCGATGTGGAATTATTTCCCCAGAAACATTCACCTGGGAGAGCTGTACCTGGCAAGCTTTTTGGTGCCAGGCAAAAAGCTTTTTATTTACACAAACCTGCAGACTGATTTATGCTACATTTGAGTATTTTTACTTTTGCTTGCCTGTCTATTTTAAATTGTTTTATTCCTTTTTTGTAAGCCACCAGAATAAGATTGCCTGGCAGTATGAAAATTTCCAAAACAAAGAAAGTGAAATTATATTCACAGGTGCTTATGTCTGCAAAACATAGGCCAAAGGAACAAATTTCCTTGCTTTGAAAAAAGCGGATGATCATCTTGGGTTGATAACATTACACTATAGCGATCCTGAGGTATAAAAATATAACTCTTAAAATAGGCTGCATTTTTGCATTTGCAGTTTTGAACATGTTGAAGGGCAGGGTTTGACTGTGCCAAAATATCTTGTTCTGCATCCTCTTTCTGCAGGAAGGGCGAGATGACCAACTCAGGCAACAGAATTGGGGAATTGGGGAAAGGAGCATCACGTTGTTATGCATTTAGATTATTATTAGTGAGCACCATCACTGAGACTGTGCATCACACGCTCAAGAGGTTCTGGACCATTCCTGCTTCCCTAAAATAAATGAATGGACAGCCCTGCCAGCCTCACACTCCAACTCTATATATGCTCACTTGGAACTTAGGTTCATTCACAATGAAAGGCCAAACTTTATTTTCTGAGCTGCCAAAGCAGGACTAACCTCTTCCTGCCCTTCAGAGCAACTTCAGGCCTTTCTAAACAAGCTGAGACCCTGGATCTTTCCATAAAGGTTCTGTACTCCTGTGCGTGTCTGCTCGAGGAGAAGCCCCATTGAGTTCAGTGAAACCTACTCCCAAGTAAGTAAGCGTAGGAATGCAGACTTAAACCATCTTTTAGCTTTGCTTCTCCTGTGCTATTTATGCGCCTATACAAAGTACAGTGGTACCTCTGGTTATGTACTTAATTCATTCCGAAGGTCCGTTCTTAACCTGAAACTGTTCTTAACCTGAAGCACCACTTTAGCTAATGGGAATTCCCGCTGCTGCCACACCACCACCGTGCAATTTCTGTTCTCATCCTGAAGCAAAGTTCTTAACCCGAGGTACTATTTCTGGGTTAGCGGAGTCTGTAACCTGAAGCGTATGTAACCTGAAGCGTATTTAACCCGAGGTACCACTGTATTGACCTTTACATTTACAAGCAACTGCATCAAAACTGGTCGGAAGCACTGTAAAAAGAGCAGTTCGCACTTACATTTCAACCACTTTTGGCCACTTGCTTGTCTTTTCCATTTGACTGGAAGTCCTGTATGATCGCCGCAGAGCTGCACACTTTCTCCACATGGCCTTGCACACTAGCTGGAAGAACCAATGGCAGCAACCTTTACAGCATGGCAAGTTTCACTTGTGAACTGCAGTTGTGCAACGCAGAAGCTCAGGTGCCATCAGAGTAATGGGTGCAATGTACAAGTCATTTCTGCAAATGCCCTTTCCTTCAGCCGCTATTTGCAGATCCCTGCAATTTTAGTTGTTTCCTACTACCGGTGCAGCCCCTGCCAAAAGTGGGGTGCTGGGTACCCCCAACCACATTTAGGTATTCAAATTCGATTTAAAGAACCAAGTGGAGGGGGGCTACCTTTTTCAATGGCTCCTGTGTCTTTAACAGCTGCAAAACACACAGATATTCAACAGAGGAAGCTTTTTTCAGCAGGCCAATACAGACTTGGGAGCATAATCTACTGCAATCTAGCTCAGGCACCCTGAAATCCCTACATGGATTGTGTTGCTGTGTGACTCAGTTCCATAGAGGAAGCTTCTGAACCAGTGCACCACACTGACAGGCAATACTTCCTGAGAGCAAATCGCTTAAGACACTGTGGCTTTAAGAAAAAATATGAATGGTGCAATAGAAGCATCACCTGTTGTACCAGATAGTTAAGAGACTGAAACTGTTATCAATGGGTAAAGCTTTTTCCAGCATCTGAAGTGAGACTGCATCTCTGCTTGTCACTACAGCTGTGAAAGGCTGTGGTAGAAAAAGTTGCTAGCCCTGAAATTATTACCCGACCCTTTCTGGCCTGGAAATGTTTCCTTCCGTAGCAAAGCAATGCCCTTGCAATCTTGCTCCCAGAAAAGCATTTTTATTATATATTTTTAGACCTACCAAACCCCACTTAACACGCAGATTACAACTGCGCCTGGGATGCAATCCAGTTCTCACTGAGGTCAATCGTGAAACTCCCGTAAATGATAAATAAATCAGTATCTCAGCCTGACTTGGAAATACGTGCCACTGAAAATAAGTGGGAGTTGCTTCTGAACTGAATATACTTGTTACCTATTCAAACCAGTCCAGGAGTGGAAATAGTATTCTAGTTTTTGCAACTGACTTCTGTTATGGGGTAGTGCCCTTTACTAAGTCAAGTATGGTTCTGCTTGTGTAGAATACATACATAGAAACTGACCAGATTTTTAAAAAACTCTTCATAAAACAATAAGTGAAGAATATACTAGTTCCAAACAAGAGGACAGAGAGAGACAAAACTCCAAGGAAGTTGTTATACCACCACACCCAAAGGCTGAAATTGTCCAGAGGAGAAGCTTGTTAAATAATTTATTGATTTATACAAAGTCTTTCCAACTGTAAGAGTTTGGAGCCAACCGAAAATCAAGTAATGCAGTTCTTTCTCCCTTATTCTCTTTAGAAAAGAAAAGAAGAAATTCAAAGGAAAGGGAAGATAAACGAAAGCATCCAAACCCCAAAACAAAAGAGGCGAGAAAACCGCTTTTTTTTTTTTACACTAGAAATATACATCACAAAAAAATCTGCAATTTCCTATATACAAAGCGGCTGAGTTGGAATCGGGGACCCATATACAAAACAGTAACAAAATCTTGATTGTTAGGAGCAGGAGAGCTACCACAGAAGGGGGAGAAGGGGGTTGCTGTGGGTGGCAAGTATTAACAACAACAAAAAGGCAGCCGTCCTGAGTACAAATAATTCCACCCCATCAGAAGCTCATTTATTTCCCAGTCAGTTCCTCTGATTTAAAATGAAACTGTATTTCCAAGTGTGCGTAGGATAGGGATGTGACTGGGAACTAAGCTCCATTGAAAACTAAGGCTGCCACCCTAAGCATGGTTACTACAGAATGAATCCCACTGAACTCAGTGGAACCTACTTTAAAGGAAATATGCCTCTTCTTCATGCACAGCTCCACCCAATCTTAGCCATTTTTACTCAGAAGTAAGCCCCCGGGGGATGACTGTCAAGTAAGAAAGCTGCATCAGGAGATAACCCAATCCTAAGCACTTTAGCAGCACAATCCTAAACACATTAACTCCAAAATAACAGTGCAATCCCATACAAGTTGCTCAGAACTAGATCCTATTCAGGGGCCCTTACTCCAGAGTCAGTTTGCATAAAATTGCATGCAACCTTTACAGCACGATCCTGAGGAGTAAAGTCCTATTGAGTTCAATGGGGCTTCCTCCCTCGTATGAGTGCGTTTAGGACTGCCGTTGAAGAGAATCGCTCCGCATAACAACGTTTACTCAAAAGTAAGCCCTACTGAGTTCAATGGGACTTACCTCCTAGTAAGCAGGCTGAGGATCGCAGCTGAACTGAGCAGCAAAGTCTTTTTCTATTTGGATGGAGCTACATTTTCCAGGGGCGCCTGCTTTTAAGGTCAGATGATTTGGCTGCCCCTTCCCCAAAGTCCATTTGCTCTCAGCAGTTTCCATTTTTACGCTAATCGGAATAGGGGGTCGGTTGGGCATCATGGCGGCTGTTTTGTTTCCAAATGCAGAATGGGGGTAAAAGAGGGGGTGGGTGGGTTGGAAATGGAAAATAAACCAGGGTCGAGTTACCCATAAAAGTTGGAAAGCTTTTCTTGCGGTTTTTGTGTGTGTGTGTTTGGTTTCCTTCCTTCCTGTGCGAGCGACGCGGCTGTGCGTTTGGAGAGTGCGCCCCGTCGGAGAGCAAAGGCGCGCTGCTCCTTGGTTCCCATAACTTAATTCTGTCCGAAATATATATACACACACGTTATTCCCCCCCATATGTGGCGGGCTGTACAAGACGTCGCGGGGGCCAGTCCCGAGGCTGGCTGGGGCTGGCGGCGTCGGCGGCTACCCTGCTTGGCCGGAGAGGACGGGAGGGTCGGGCAGGCGAGAGGGGGCGGCGGGGCGGGCGAGGGCGAGGCAAGGCACGGCCGCAGTCACGACGGCTCCGAGGCGTTGCTGCAGGGGCTGAGCAGGGCCAGCGGGCCCGACGACACCGCGGCGGCGGCGGCGGCTGCAGCGGCCGCCTTGTGCTTCTTGAGGAGCCGCGTGATCTTCTCGTCGTCCGAGTTGGGGTCGAGAGGCTTGTTGTACTCGTCGTCGTCCTCGTTCTCCGAGCTCTCCTTCAGCTTCTCCGTCTCCGAGTCGTGCTTCTTCTTGGCCGACGCCATCTCGGCCGCATGCCGCTTCCGCCACTTCGTCCTCCGGTTCTGGAACCACACCTGCGACGCGGAGCCGGAGAGAGGGAGAGGGAGAGAAAGAGGGGAAGACAAAAACACACGCACATCTTTGGTCACGCGTCTCTCCAGGGCGCAAGTCACAAAGGTTAAAAAAATAACAACCCAACCCTGATTCGCAAGAGAAACAATCGGGGTGACTACCACGCGCTGGTACCCTATCGAGAAGCAGTGCGGCGCAGGGGTTAGAGTATCGGACTAGGACCTGAGAGACCAGGGTTCAAAATCCCCACCAGACATTAAATTCACTGGGCGAGCTTGGGCCAGTCACTGCCTTGCAGGACTGTTGTGGGGATTGAATGAAGAGGGGGAGAAGCGGGGGGACTCCTTAGAGAAAAAGGTGGAATATAAACGCCATCAAATAAATCTTCAGAATGCACAGGCCCTGGTCCCCACTTGGGCCATGCTGATGCTCAAAGAGTAACTGCCCTTGGCTTACACATGGAACAGAGTGAATCCTTTGTGTTTATACAGTCACAGTTACAAACCCCACTTTAACCTGAAACCTCCTTAGCTGTGAGTAGGTCAGGGTGGCAGAAGAAAGTTGCGATTTCAGGTGGGGGGGGGGAACAATAACGCTACGATCTTATGGAATCTGGGAGGCCAAGATTCAGATCCCCTACTTGACCAGTCACACTCTCTCATCCTCATCTACCTCACAGGGTCATTTTGAGGATAAAATAGGGGGAACGTATAGGCCACCTCAAGCTTGTTGGGAGGAAAATTGAGATATAAATGTAATAATAATACTAATAATAACTGTTGAAGTCAGTGAGATTTCTAAATAATCATGGTTGGGCAAAGCAGGAAGGGTTACTGGGGAAATCATTCCTTGGCTATAAATCAGTTGCTCATCAGCAGAACTTTACAAAAAGGAAGCCCTAACGTTTCATGTAAACTACTTGTCAAAATAATGTGAGTGTACACAAGATTTTTTCATTGAAATGGAGCTTCCTTCCACCTTCATGTGCTTGGGATGAAATTCTGCAAAGCCTACCATCTCATCACCTTCTTATTTAGAATGTATTCTGGGCTTCCTGAACAAAATGAACCAAACATGTTGTGAGAGTAAACACATTGGAACAGGGATGAATTACTAACGAAGTACTTGCTAAGGAAGCCAAACCACGTCTACTTGGAAGTAAACCCCGTCACTCCCAGATGACTTTTCACAGGGATGTTGCCCCATTAAGTGCTTACTTCCAGGGAACCTGGAGGGCAACTCCTTGACCACCCAGATGTCCCGTTCAGTACTAAAATCTTAGAATCCCAACCCACTTGCATTGGGGAAGGGAAGAGCATGGTGGCCCCATCTGTCGGTCAGAAGAGTGGCAGCTGCAGGGAGCGGTGTTTCCTTTCTCCCTGCCAGAAAGAACTGTACAAACTTTGGAACTCTACTCCCCTACTCCCACTCAGTCTTATTTTCCTTTTCCATCACGGCCTTTTCGATAGCCTATGGCTTGCAATCCACTTAGTATTGATTTGGGTTGGGGGTTTGCTTGTTTTTTTGGTGGAATAGAGGGTAAAAAATCCTGTAAATAATTATTGGCTGAATGTAGGCAATTTCGTTTGACTCTGTTCTGGCTTGGCCAAAGGAAGGCACACGCAGGCATCTATACCCATCCTATATTCTTTATCTGCATGCAGCTCAACGCCCCGCACTGAGCTCACGATCCACATCTGCAAACTAGGGCACACGTACACACACTAGCCACCTTGGTAGCTAACCATTCCCAAAGACACAGATCTCCGGAATCCTGTCCTCATCCGCATCTTATGCTATCCCATCACTTTGCATCCTATTGGATCCCTGCCCCAAAAGCATCCCCAGTCCTAATTCACACCCCTGTATTTCTCATCCCAGACCTCAACTTCAGCGGCAGGTGGCTTTCAAGCTGGTTCTCTTTAAGTCATGCTCTGAGCTAAGTTACCGGTAATGCTCAATGTCCTTTTGATAGCTGCCTCCTCCCTGCTTATCTAAAAGCAAACCCCCCTGAACTCAATGGGACTTATTGCTTAGTACAGTGGATTGTGCTGTTAGGGCAGCTGATTTCATTCCCTTCGTACATACTGGGATGTAAATGACACCAAACCCCCAAAAGGCTTACTTTCATGTAAGCCTAATTAAGCCTTAACAAGGAAGGTACGACTCTCTCCTGAATCCAGAAATTTCTGAGTGGCATTTAAATCTAGCCCCTTTTGCATGAAAAAGTGGGGGAAATATTACTTGTGGGAAAGTAGATCAAATCCTGCAAAACCCACTGAGGAGTAAACGTGCATCATGTTCCAGCTTCAACTGTACAGAAATATGGTATAGAAAGCCAATTTTTTGGCCTCATAAAAGCACTGGGGGTCTTGACAGGAGACATTTGTCTGGTTATATTGAGGTTTTATTACTGGCCTTCAAGAACAGTAGGAAAACCAGCATCTGAGGATGTTATTTCATGGGAAACTGAGTGCTGACAAATGAACCGCTCAAATAAGACACTGGGACCCCATTGAAAGCCATGATGGGAACTAAGATGGCAATCCTAAAAGAGTAAGATCCACTGAATGCAATGCACTTTTAAAAACTGAAATTGCCTCTCAATCCAAATGCAGAATTCCTTGCGATAAAATCAGAAAACTATCTGCTGATAATCTTTTTTTAAAATCCCACATTTTCCATAAACTTATAAGATCATGAGTTTGTAAGCCTCCCCCTCCATTGACCAAAGAATGATCCACCCCATGTTAAACAATTTTGCAGTGCAGTCCTACATGTGTCTACTCAGAAGTAAGCCAGGCTGAGTTCACTGTTTCTCATTCAAAAGTCAGACTCTATTATGATGGAATCATATTTCAACTAATGATGAGGAAAGTGGCGGTGTGTGTGTGTTAAAGAGCAAGAAATGCCTTGGCTACAAATATTGTTTCAACTCTACATTAAAAACAATTTATGCTTTTAAAGTGTATTGCCTTTTTAAAGGGGGGGGACAACAAGACGGCAGAAAATACCCCCCCCAATCCCTAGCAAACACATTTTATAATCCGTCCACAACCTTAATAAATTAATTTTCGGTGCAACCTTATACATTCTTTCTAGGAAGGAAACGGATTGAATAGTGGTGTTTCCTGCCATATTTGGGATCAGCTTGCTCATCTCTCTGACCTTCGGAATAACTCCAGAAGATTCCTTAAAGAGGACGCAGATCGGCTGATGCCAGTTTATTTGTAAGCGAGCCCGCTTAGGACTGAGGAGCCACAAGGTTTAAATTCAGTGTCTTTGGGCTTATCTTAATTACGACTTTTAAAAATAATTAGAATTATTAAGATTTTTATTTTGGTAGAGGGAAGACACTAAGTCTATCAGATACAGTAAACAGCAAAGGTGTGTGACATCTTGCGGTTAGAAAAAATGAAACAAGCTTTAGCGGGCTGGACAAGGCTAATACCCACGGGCTGTTTCTTAGCACTTGGGCTGTTTCTTAGCACTTCAGTTCTTAACCCCACATATTCTGAACTCATTCATTTACCTCCAAGAGAAGGCGCATAGAGGCACAGCCACTTTGCTGGGGAGTGAAGCCCCACTGAACTGGGAGGAATTTACTTCTAAGTAAACTTGCCGCAGACTGGGACTGCTAGTCCCTCTGAAACCAGCTCCCCTTCGGTGCGAGCACTCTTCCCAGTGCAACCTTATAAGTGTCTACTCAGAAGTAAGCCTACCCACTCTGAGTTCTGAGGGATTTATTCTGAGGGGGAAGAGTTGAATACAGTACAGGACTGTATATTCACATTCCTGCTTGCCTGGGAGTAAAAGTGCCAAGGGAAAAGGGTCACACTTCTGAGCAGACATGCTTAACATTGCACCGCACCGCAAATATGTTGTTGTTTTTTTGCAAACGGAGCCTAGGGCGCCCGAGATGCTGCTGACCGTCGAGGCGACCGGCAAAAGAGGGCTCCTTACCTTGACTTGACTTTCCGTCATTCCCAGCGAGTAGGCGAGGCGGGCTCTCTCGGGTCCTGCCAAGTACTTGGTTTGCTCGAAGGTTTTCTCCAAAGCGAAGATTTGCTGCCCTGAGAAAGTCGGCCGCGAGTGTTTCTTCTTGCCGTCCTTGTCCAAAACCATCCCAGCCTGGGCTGGAGAGAGGGACGAGGGAGCGGAGGGAGAGAAAGAGCCCCGTCAAGCGCCGAGGAAAAAACAACAACTCCTGGACCCCAAAGCCTTTTGTGCGCGCCGGGCAGAAACTTCCTCGGCGGATCTCATGCGGACCAGCAACCTGAAATGCCGTCGCAAATCCAACCCGCCCTTTCCCGAGAGCAGCCGCAGAGCTCGGGCCCAGCAGGAAAACTTTGCCACCAGCTAGCCTGCAGGAGATGCAACGTCGGGGGGGGGGGGAGTTTAAAACAAAACAAAAACCAGCGGCTCGTTGTGGAGGCTGCGATCGGGGCTGCGCAAGACCCTCGAGCTGCTCCATCAGTTTCCCGGAGGCGACCTGGCTACTTTCAGCTGGCCTTCAGGAAACCGATCCTTGCCGCTTTCATTTCCAGACATCAAAACACCAGCCAACTGGAAGCGTCCTTTTTTGAGGTTGCAGATCACCGCGCTGGCTCACTCTCTTCCAAAGGGCCACCCCCTCTCCCTAAGCGAAACACACTGCCTCTTTATCTGGGACCCGAGCCCTGGAGCCGCTCGGACAGAAAAGAAGGAAACCCCACCACCACCAGCACACCTCGCCCTGCCCATCCGCTTAGGGCTCACCAAACCAATCCATCTGGACCTATTTGCTCGCCTTGTTTCCTGGGAATGAGCCCTAGCACCTGTTGCCTGCACCCAGAGCCCGGCCGTGCAACTTGCGAAGCTAGAGAGAAAAGAGGCGCCTCCGAGCATGTGCAGAGTGCTGTTCCACCCGGCCTCTCCTAATGAGCGCAGGGCTTGATGGGACGGGCACTGGCACCTCTAATTTTGAGGACTGGGGAATTTTTAAAAGAATCTCCTTTTTTGGCAGAGATCCTCCCCTCCCCCCTCCTGCCGCCCAGCCCCCGCCTTCTTACCGGGACAGGCGAGCCGGGGGTCCCTCCAGGGCGCCCCCTGCATGACTCCGGGCCAGAAGATGGGCGGCCTGCCGGGCAGCTCGGCCAGGGGCTTCGGGTAGCGGGACACGGCCGCCGGGTTGAAGTACATCCCGGCCGCGGCGGCCCCGGCCAGCCCGTTGAGGCGAGGCAGGCCCGTGAGGAGGCTGCTGGCGGCGGCGGCCACGGGCCTGCCCAGGATGTCGCTGATGCCGTGCGGGGTCCCCAGCGGGATCTGCGCGTTGAGTCCGCCCAGCGAGGGCGCCTTGAAGCCGGCCGGGCTCTGCAGGGCGTAGGGGAAGAGCGACGTCTTCATCTCGGCCATGTTGTGCAGCGCCGCCAGCGGGGCGCTGCTCAGCACGAAGGCGCCCGGCGGGCGGTTAGCCTCCATCTGCCCCACGGCTAACATTGGCGGGCATCAAGGGGCGGGCGAGGCCGAGCGGGAGCGGGGAAGGCGGCCCCGAGGGCCGGGCAGGAGTCCGCCGCCTCGCCGCCGACTCCCAGGGAGCCGCAGAACCAGACTTCGCCTTCTCCTCCTCCTCCTCCGTTCCTGTTTTTTTGGCGGGAATTCGCCGCAGGGCCGCTGCAAAGTTTTGCTCCGGTTCTCCTAAGCGCCGGCGGGAGCGCTCGGCAGCCGCGGGTTCTTCGCTGGAGGGCGGCTTCAGCCGCTGCAACTCCCGGCGGGAAGTTCTCCGGTCGAGAAGGGGAGGGAGACGGAAGGCGGGTCGGCCGCAAAGCCTCGGTGGAAAAACCAGCCACGACAACGCCAATCTCGGCGGCTCAGTTTTCTTCTTTGCAAGCTTTTAATTTTAGGAAATAACTTTTTTTGGGGTGGGGGGAATTCTCTCAAATTTGGAAGTCCTCTCGAAGATCGGGAATTGGTGCTGGAGTATATATATGTATATATTTATATTTTCCTCTTTTTTTTTCTTCTCCCCTCCCCCCCTTCCAAAAAAATCAAATAAATGCTTTTTTATTTCGTTCTTCCCAAAGCAAGGAGTTTTCCCTCCCGGTGAAATGGACTCGAGCGCTTGGAGTCCCGGAGTCGGGACAAGATGCGCTGATAACCTCGCAGGCACCTGCCAGCCGAGCTCTCGGATTGGTCGCGCTCTCTTCCGAGGCCGCTGCTATTGGCCAATGGACGGGCATTCCGGTCTGCCCGCTTTGCATGCGCGTCATGGAAGTGTGTGCTGGAAGGGGCGGGGCGGGGGAGGAGGAGGGCGCGCGGCGGAGAGAGATCAGAAGATTGCGGGGGAGAAAAAGAGCAACATTAAATGAAGGTTCTATTATAAAGTCAAGGTACTTTAAATGGCTGTAAATTTGCCCGCTGATTTATCTTTCCGACGACTAAATAAATCCCGTTGAATGGGAGTTTAGTTAGGCTTAAAGGTTCCCCCCCTTCCTCTTTTCCTTTATAAGGAATCGGCTATATATATATATATATATACATATTTCATGTTCTCGTAATCGTGCAGATCCGCAAGAACTTGTTTTTTTTTTTTTTAAATCGACCAGCCAAAGTCACTTTCACAATGGAACTATCCCTCGCCATTTCTTGATTGTCTAACATTGCGTAAAAAACACAAACCAGCAGGGCTTTTTACAGTAAACCAACCGAGTCTAAACGGAAGAGGAGATGAAGAGAGAAAGAGAGATTGAATTTCCCGTTTGCTGATCTTTTCTTATCCCCCAAGAATTCTCTTCCCTATCTGTTTTCTCACCCGGGAGCTCAATAAATAAGCGTGGAATAAGCCGCAAGGAAGGGTCTTTAGGCGTGTGGCCCGCGAGTCTTTTAGCTCTATTAAGATCCGCGGCGTAGATGATTATCTGTGCGTGACTCTCGCCTCCTTTTATTGCCTGAACTCGCTTCTGATATGTATCAATCTTATCTAGCAAAGGCCTTTAAAAGAAGACCTTTTGTCCTTATTGATCACATCGTGGACTCTTGTCACCGATCTGTCTCTCCCCCCCCACCTCCCCCTTCTCTCTCTCCGACTTTACAGTTGCTTTTTTAAGGCGACCGAGAGGTTGGCAAGGTGGTTTTGAAACTGGCCCCTGACCAACACTCAGCTCGCCCGAGCCTTTGATTTGACGGGCATAAATGACCTCCTTCTGCACCCGCCTAGGAATCGTTCCTTCCTCGGCCATTCCTTATTTTTTAACATTTGAAAGGCGAAGATCAAGAAAACCTTCCGAACATCATTCATGATAGCCGCCAATCCTACGAGGTACCTGAAACGCTGGCAAGGTTGACACAAAATTTATGTTGAGTTTTCAAAAAATTAAATAGGGATTTTTCTTATTTAAAACGAGGAAGAAACGGCTCCATGCGTCAATTCTAAACGCGCTCTACCGGGCTTTCAGAATTTCAGCTCCAAGACACCAATATGCATTGCTGCTTTCCCCCCTTTCTTTTTAATGATAACATCCATTCCTGAAAGTAAGTCCGACATAAATAAGTTGCAACTCATTTAAAGGGAAAGTCACGTTTCCCCCGCAGCAAATGCAATACACGCTTCTCAGTGATAATTTTCCTTTTTAATCGAAGCGTGGTATAATAATGTTGGGAAATGTTTCTGATGAAGCTTGCTTATTAAATTCTTGTTTTTATTTGTCAAAATAGTACCCTATTATTTTGAGGCCTGGCAAATGACTCTTAAGGGGAATCCAGAATGATTCTTATGGCGAAAGGATCCTTCTCAGAAAGAAAGGAAAAAGCTGAACCCGTGTGATTGTGCGTCAAAACCTGTTTTCAGACGACCACGAAGTAAATCCTGATTTGTTGGCACTACACTAGTTCTCCATTCTATACAGTGGTACCTCGGGTTACATACGCTTCAGGTTACAGACTCCGCTAACCCAGAAATAGTACCTCGGGTTAAGAACTTTGCTTCAGGATGAGAACAGAAATCGTGCTCCGGCAGCGGGGCAGCAGCAGCAGGAGGCCCCCAGGAGGCTAAAGTGGTGCTTCAGGTTAATAACAGTTTCAGGTTAAGAACGGACCTCCGGAACGAATTAAGAACTTAACCCGAGGTTACTGTACACGCAATTAACCTGTGTAAAATGCTACGTGAACTGCAGCTCTTCGGATGCGTGTTTGCACGTTTCCCCCGCAGCAAATGCAATACACGCATCTTAACAGGAAAGGGCTTAGCTGCACGATGGCGTGTGTGCCATGTAATTTGCACTCATGCCCATAGTGGAGTTTACTTCCAAGTTGCGTATCCAGGATTGTGGTGTCTCCTGACAATCATTTACAGTACTTGGAAACAAATCTCGGATTCTGGCCCAGTATCCTTTTCTTACAACTGCAGCCCCAGAAGCATTAATTAAAATATTTTATTTGGATTTAAAACAAACACAAACAAAAAACCCTCATTCTCCCCAAGCGCAATTAACCGTTACATCTGCAGTTCCAAAAGGGTGGGTTTTGTCTCTAAAAGCAAGGAAACACGTACACCTCCCCTCACTCAGACGTAGAAGATGTCTGTGTGCCCGCTGGGAATTAACAGCATCAATGGAGACGCAGGCCTTCTGTGCAGATCCGATCTCGAAAGTTGCCATTTGATCTGCTGCTCAAGTCTGCTGCTCTCCAGATCGCCCGTTTCCTTGTCTTCACTTTTCGCCCAACACAACCACATCTGGAGGGGCAGAAAAATCCCAGGGCATTGCTTGTCCAGCCTCCAGGGTCCTCGACGGCAGCTCCTGGCCTCTTCGATACTGCGGTCCGAAGGGAACTTCGGGTCGGGAGCTGGAAACCTATCGATTTCAGGGGGACTCCTCCACACCATCACATCAATCGGATAGGGAATTAGACGGAGATGGTTAGGTGAATAGGCCAACTCTGAAAAGCCATTCCTGGGATTTGCTCCGGAAGAGTAACTTCCATTCCACCACCCACCTGACCAAAGTGGGCACCTGCAGCCCCAAATGTTTGCCTTTCGGAGATCAGCTTTGCATTGACCACGGTGCCTTGCTTTGTGCAATGTCCAAGTTCTCAGACTAATAATAACAGCAACATTTTATGGTTGGTGCTGTTGTTAAATAACGACTTTTGTTGTTAAACAACAACATTTATTATAATTATTGATGATGAAGAAGAAACGTAATTCCTATGACGTTTGCATGGTTTAAAGTATGGCTGTAAATTTGTAATGATTTTATTGTTTTGCCGTTCTGTAAACCGCTTCGAGGGCTGTTGGTTTATTTTACGAAATAAAACAAACAAATAAAATGTTGATGGTGATAACACATATTTGAGGGCTTGGGAGAAATCTTGAGAAGGAAATGTGCTTTTCTCAAAGTTCATTCAAAAGTGCGTTTACTACGGGTTGAGGTTCCTAACAGTGTCTTACGCTTGGCTTTCATAGAGTCTCTGTCGAGATCCGCTTTTCCCTTCCCTTAAGAGGGACCGGCCGAAGTGAAAGGATTCCACGCCTCCTTTAGCCCTTTGGGATCAAATCCCGTCCAGGGACTTTTCTGGGACTTTTCTCTCGCAGAAAAGAAAGCGTGGGGTGATCTCATTCCCCCACTTGCTGCTGGGCTGCTTCGAGGAGGTCCCGGGAGGTTGAGACGGTGGTGGCGAGAGAGAGAGAGAATATTACATTTTCAATGGAGCGGTTGGCAGAGATACGGCAGGAAAAAGATGTATCTCCCCTCCCGCGCCGCCTCCGCTGTCCAGCCAGTAGGAAGCTGCCGGGGGATCTAGCTCTGCAAGACACGCCTACAAAACCTACAATTTCTCATCCCTCGGATCCAAGTGTCGCCCAAGTGTGAGATTCAAGGGACCAGATTCCAGCTGGCGTTGCATTGCCTTGGGGGAAGTACTTCTGGCCAGGAATAACATTCCTAGTGAACACAGCACAACTAGTAATACATTTAAATTCCAGTGACTTCAGTTTCGGCTGGTTTGTGGATTAGGTTTAGATAAACTGTATGTGTCTTTTAACTATTTATGTGTTTCTTTTAATGCTAAAAATGCCCTCTATGTCACATCAGGTAAAAGAAATATAAGAACAACCAGCAGCAACCATAGTTTTAGTAGGTCTGTCAACTAGTTTAAGCTCTTCAATAGTTCATCTTTTAGTGGATTAACCAATTAATCAATGACATTTATATACAATTAGCCATTGCATAATCCCAGTGAAGGTGCCTTTTGGAGGATATATTGAGAGAGGGCGACAAGTTTTCCTTAAATGTCAAAACCATTACAATGTTGCCATGAGTTTGTGGGTGCTAGGCATTCCCTAAATTCCTGGGACCAATAGGTGCTGGAATTTAATTAAGTCTTGTGCACTAAAACTGTGTTAGACTCCCATGTGTTAGAATCTAATCAAGACCCCTGTGCATTATTTGGCTGTGCATGAGACACCTCTTTAACCCCCTGGAATCAACATGTGTTAGAAGCAAATTGAATCAGGCTACTTCACCTTTTGAGGTGATGGCCTGCGGATGAGCCATTAAGGCAACACACAGGATCAAAGGACTAAGCATGAAAAGGCAGTTGAATGGGCCCCTCCCTCGCTCTGCAGATAAAAGTCAGGGGTTTAGAATAAGAGAGAGTTAGAAGTCATATGGGCAGTAGCTTAGTATAGGGAGTTGGGAGTTAAGCAATGGCATTAGTAAGCAGCAAGGTTTGAGAGCAATGGTTGGGGTCTGCTTAAGTCCAAGTCTGCTATGTGGCTATGGGAGAAGCCAGAACCTCTTGACGTATGAATGCTAAGCATCCCTCCATTGCATGCTCG